TATATTGCTTTGGTGCAAATTAATGTAGTAGACAAAATGAAGTGTGTCCAAACACAATAAAGCGTATATATATCTAATCAGGACAGTGAGTTGAGTCGATTTATCCATGTCCGTCGTATGTCCGTTAATACGAGCTCGTGGATTTCTAAAAAAGAAATTTGAAATTTGAATCCAAACGCAAAATGAGTTTATAATTTTTTGTCGACATCTCGTTTTATTTTCAAAATGATCAATATTAATTTTGAGTAATGGTTTTTTAGGCACAACTCATAAACTATAAGATTTAGATACACTAAAACTGGTAAAAAAAAAAAAAATAATATTAAGAATATATCATTTGTTGGATCCTTCCCCATTCCTCTCAGAGTTGAGTATTTTTGAGCTGTTATATTTTCTATATAGTTGTGCTGTGATATGACTTTATTATATTCAGAAGATCTGCTTTCCTGCGTTCCCCACCAACTTACTTTAATCGAACATAAATAAGGAATACATGAATGCTCCCGTTCATCAGGGCAAAGGAGAAATTTTTATTCATTAAGGGATCACCGGAAACAGTCGACAGTCAGAGCCGCAGTGTCGAACTACTCTCTTTTGTAAGTCGCCCTCTACATAATAACAATAGTTTTAAAATTATATCTTTGAAAATATATGAATATTCTATAGCATAATAAGGTCTACTTCCGAAGATGTTATCAAGGTCGGTTAAGAAAAACAGAAGCTATTAAAGAAAATGTGTTCTAATATTGACACGTGTTTGCAGCAGCTAGCGCAAACTGCAAGAATTTCTGTATTCAAGTGCACTAATACATCCATGCACGTTTTAAGTGAATCCTTTAAACAGCATTATAATTGCAGTTGTATTATTCAGTGCTCTGTGCATGTACTGCTATTTTAATTCGTTATTTATTCAGGAAAAATTAATGTTTGGCATGGCTGTTGAGTAGCAAGTGGCGGTGGCAAATAGGTTTACAAGTTCGGGTCCTATGAAAATAACTATTTGTTTTTTAAATTAATTTTTCTTATTGCTGAAGCAAACAAGCTTGTACCGCGAGCTGCATTTGCTATTGGTAGAAGAGAGTTCAGGGGGTCCCCTAGTCCCTTCTAGAGCCTCTTAATTGTTTAAATTTAATTCTATTCATGTTAAAGCAAACGTGCGTTAGCTGCATTTAGTGTTGGTAGAAGAGGGCTCAGTCGGAAACTCCCGACTAGAGCCTCTTACTTTTTATACCCTGAACCCATTGAAAATGGGTAAAAAGGGTATATTGTATTTGTGCAAATGTATGTAACAGGCAGAAGGAAGCATCTCCGACTCCATAAAGTATATATACTCGTGATCAGCATCAATAGCCGAGACAATCTAGCCATGTCCGTCTGTCTGTCCGTCCGTCCGTTCGTATGTATGAGCGCAAGGATCTCAGAACCTATAAGAGCTAGAGACTTGAAATTTTGGCTGTAGGTCCTCCTAGTGCCCGCGCAGATCGAGTTTGTTTCCGATATTCGATAACTTGCTCCGTTTCCAAGTAATCGATAAGAATCGATTAAATCGATATCGATATCATGTTTTTGATCAATTTTGGTAAATAATAAGAGAGATAATAATAAGAGTCACTAACTATGACATGTAGCTTCTAGAATAGTATATACATATATATCAAATATCTTTCATTTCATACCTATCGCCACCTCCCCTCTACCACCACAAAGCTATAAATCAAGTAAGTAAACCAATTTATGCTGCCCACCAATAAAAGCCACAATTTAAATGTAATTGTTATTTTGAAAATACACGAATATTTTATGGTACAATAGAAAATTTCATCAAGATCAGTTAAGAAACACCGAAGTTATTAAGGAAAAGGTGCTTTGGCTGGCAGCAAGCGCAAATTCCAAGAATTTCTGTATACATGTACACACACACACATTCATGCGCGTCTGCTTCGAATTCTATCAACAGCATTGCAATTGTGATTGTATTGCTTTCTGTGCTGCTATTTTAATTGGTAAGTAGTGCGTTCAGTTGGAAGTTTGAACCCTGCCACGGGAACTTTTCTTTTTATTAACTTATCTTTATTAGTACTAAAGCAAACGAGTGCTGCAATAAGAGGGTATCTCCTAGTCGGGAGCTCCCGACTAGAACCTCTTACTTGTTGTCTTTCAAGTTGTTGTATTCCGACAACATTTATAAAATTCGCCTAGCCCAATTCCGTTCTTAAGTTTATTCGTTCTCTTAAGATCGCAGATGACGATTGGGGTTTGTTAGGCACAGCTGCTTGGAACGACAAGTCGTTTCCCTACTGTTGGAAGCAAGCATAGAAACGACGTACGATGTGCAATGAGTTGTCATTGTAAGTCATTGATACGGTTCAAGCCCCGTCGCTTCGTAATAAGGCATTGGCGATCACATTAAAACTATTTGACGCAAAAAATATTGTTTGAACCACTTATAAAAAATTGTTGAGATCGTTTTATAACATAGAATTGAGTATTCGACTATGAGAATAACTTTGAACAATAAATATACAAAAAAAAAAGGATGCTCTAGTCGGGAGTTCCCGACTAGGGAATACCCTGAACTCTACTCTACCAACACTGCAAGAAAAAAAATAGAGTAAAAAAATAATTAAGTCCCTCAATAGGACTTGAATTCGTAATAGACCGTAACAGAACACTGCTTGTCACTGCCTCTACTCGACAGCGACACACAAAAAATAGCTATAAAATGAAAGATATTTGATATATATATACTATTCAAGAAGCTACATGTCAGTTTGGTGGCTCTTGCTCTTATGATTTACGAGATTTTCTCAAAAAATGGGGATTTCCATATCGATTTTTATCGATTGATTGGAAACGGGGCATGTTATCGATTATCGTAAACAAACCTAGTGCAAGTGGGTAAAATCGGTATAATGAATTTGAGCAAATAAAAGTAACAGACAGAATGAAAAATCTCCGACCCCATAAAGTACATATATATATTATTGATCAGCGTCAAAAGCCAAATCGATCAAGCCTTGCCCGTTTGTCCGTATGTATGAACGCAAGAATCTCAGAAACTGTAGAAGCTAGAGACTTCATATTTTTAACGTAGGTCCTCCTAGGGTCCGCGCAGTACGAGCTTGTTTCAGATAATTCATAACTCCGTTTTCATGCCATCGATAAAAGTCTATATCGAAATCCAAGTTTTTGTGAAATCCCCGAGGTTTTAAGAGCTAGAGTCACCAAATTTGACATATGGCTGTTAGAATAGTGTATACTGGCCAAGTACCTTTGATTTTATAGCAATCGCCACCCCCTCCGCCACCACCCCATATAAAGAAATTAGATAAATAAACCAATCTGAACTACCCACCAATAAAAGCAAAAATTGTAATATCCAAATATTCTATAGCATAAGCAATAAGATCTATGATTGATTCAGATTGGTTAAGAATCACAAAAGTTATTAAAGAAAACGTGTGTTTATATTGACACGTGTTTGCGGCAGCTAGCGAAAATTGCAAGAATTTCTGTATACATGTACACACATTCATGCGCGTCTTTACTGAATTCTACAAAAAGCATTGTTTGGTCTTCTGAGCTGTGTATGTGCTGCTATTTTAATATTTCTCATGTGTTCATGTGCTCGATATCCATGTCTTATAGTTTTCGCATGTTTTGCTTATCCACTAAACGAAGCAAATCTGAGATACTGTTTGATTGCCATCGGAAATCATATTGGCCATAAACTAATACCACTAACTATACAATGCATAGATATGTCAAACAGCAGAATAATTGGATCCCGATAAATCGGAACGACTGAGCCCCATGGGTGCCCGCGACCATTTAGTGTGCCCAGATAGAGTAAGACTTCTGAGAGTGGCAGCCGAACGCCAGTCTCGAAAGCCGAACGTTCAGTATGAAGCCGCATCTCTGATGCCGCATCTGATGCCTTTTCATAATATATGTACGTATGTTAGTTTTAAATCCTTACAGCCCAAATACATATGTAAGTATTCACGTGCAGAGTGTGCCTAGCTCCCACTCAATGCTTTGCGCAGTTGTGTGCATCTCTTTCTCACAACATAGCTTCTCAAAAAAACCCAAGATCTACAAACAAACATATGTTTGTGTTGTGTGGAGGTGCGCACAAGTAGATCACGGCATTTGTCCGCGAGCTAGAGATATTTTCTTCAATTGTGTGCCCTTTGTGTCTGTGGTAGCAAAAGGCACACACATTCAAATGCTCTATCATGTACTTCTTCGTTCATTCAGGCATAATGAGAAGAATCTGATATATTTATATTTATTCAAAGTTTTTAATTTTAAGCAAAATTGGTCCCCACAGTAAACAAAAAAATTAGAATATAATGTATAAATATATAAAATTAAAAATTAAAAAAAAAAAACTAAGTCGTATTTCTGCAAGGGTAATTCTTCGTCGGTTTGTCGAATAATTCTAAGAAAAGGCCAAAAATTGAAAATGTTAAATTTTTGTGACTTGCTACTTGTGCACACGTACACTCTTTCCAGGGAGCTGTCGTGTGATATTATAAAAGGGTTTGTCCTGTTCATGTGAAAAATTGCTATTTTCCATGCTTGTTGCAAGGTTTTTTTTTTCAAATTATTTTAATAGGGGGAAAGCATTTAAAGCAGAAAAGTGTGGGACTTTCACCCACTAAAACCACCACCTACTCTCCGGTTCCCTCTCGCGGAACGACCGCTAAGTATTACCTCACGAGGGGGAGATGGCATGAGAGCCTCTTCTAGAGTCTTATCTAGAGTTAGAACTAGAATTGCGCTGTCTTTCAGCGCGACGTAACGATCTGATAATTTATGCAGCCATGTGGTTTATTGCAACCTAATTGATTTCGAGCTAAGTGACTGTAAAAGTTCTCCCAATACTTTGGCTTAGCTCTTCCCGTTCAGCAGAAAATCTGGGACAGACAAAAAAGACGTGTTCTGCGTCCTCTATGGTCCGCGCACAGTGTGTGCAAAACGGATCTGTCTCATGCCTAAACCTAAAGAGATAGGATTTAAAGCAACCATGTCCTGTCAGTAGCTGTCCGTACTGTTTTTCCGTAGTTCCTGCTTACCCACGGCCGTAGGTCCGGGACTATGCGTTTGGTCCAGCTGCCATTGGGAGAAGACGCCCATCGTGCTTGCCATTCTTCTAGTGTTGCCTCCCGATTGCGTGCTGCGATGCGGTCTTCTGTTGCAAGTAGTTTCAGCGGGGGAATTCCGGCCAGCACAACAGCTGCGTCGTCTAAGACGGTCCGGAAGGCGCAGAGAACCCGGAGTGCGCATCGTCTGTACGATGCCCTGCATTTGCGGCTGTAGGAAGGAATCCTAATTGCTGGTCCCCAGATCGATGACGCGTAGAGGAGCATCGACTGGACCACGTTGCAGATTAGCCGCCTGCTGCGCTGTCTAGGGCCACCAGTGTTCGCCATTATGCCGGAGAGTGCATTTGTAGCTCTACTCGCCTTTTCTCCAGCGTATTCAAGGTAATGTTTGAAGCAGAGCCTGTGGTCCAGCAAGACGCCTAGATATTTAATCGCGGGCTTGGAAATTACTGCGGTGCCGTCCACTATGATCTTGGCGGTTTCCACTTGCTTCCGGCTGCTGATAAGAACTGCCTCCGTTTTTTGCGCAGCTAGGTTGAGGCCATTTTCGAAAAACCACGTACCACCTGCACTTTCTCTTTCGCTACCGTGACAATTGCGATGTCGTCTGCAAAGCCTACGATGCTGCATCCAGGTGGTAGCGCAAGTCGGAGCACTCCGTCATACATTACGTTCCAAGGGTCCAAGCACCGATCCCTGCGGGACGCCTCCAGTAATAGCGTACTTGCGTCGTCCTGCAGCCGTGTCGTACATGAGTACCCGGTCCTTGAAATATTCGGCAACAAGATTGATGAGGTACTCGGAGATCTGCAGCCTGGAGAGTGCCAAGAGTATATTTGGCCAGCTTGCCGAGTTAAACGCGAACTGCTGGTCAGAGAGTCCGTGGCGATCTGCGATCTCTTTCTCTAATCGATCGCAGATTATGCACTCGAAGAGCTTGCCCGTGGCGTCTAGCAGGCAGAGTGGCCTGTATGCTGAGGGGTCCTGCGAGTCCTTTTCGGATAAGGACCAGTCTCTGCAACTTCCAGCTCGTCGGGAAGGTTCTCTCTGCAATGCATCGGTTAAACACATTTATTACTGTGGCTGGGTGGGCGCTAGCGATGGTGTTCAGCACTGCGTTGGGGATGCCATCGGGTCCTGGCGCTTTGTTTGATTTGTTACGCTTTAGCGCGGCAGTTATGTCGTCTGTGTCAATGGAAGGCACCACAGATATGTCTACAGCTGGCAGATGGTGGCGTAGCTCTGTCTGGTGCGGGAACAGTGTCTCCACTATCTGTTTGAGATGTTTTGGGCAGGTCTGTACGGGGCATCTTGCGAGTTTGCCCATTACCGTTTTGTAGGCTTGGCCGAAGGGCTGAGTGTCGGCTTCGTCGCAGAGTTGCAGCATTTCCCCTTGCTTCGCTTGATAGCCTTGGTGAGCATAGCTCGCCAATAGTGGTAGGCTTTGTGAGATTCTTCGGATTCGTGCTCCAAGGCCAGGTTTTCTATATCCCGTCGCGCTCGCCGTGCTGCGCGCTGGTACAGGCGTCTTGCTGTGTGGCACCTTTTACGAGCATTCTCAATTTCATCATTCCACCAGCTGACTGGCTTGTGCTTATTGCAGCCTTTCCATATTCTCTTCATTGCTGCATCGCAGGCTCGTTGCATTCCCCGTGTTAGACAGTTAGCTCGCTGCTCTGCGTTTCCAGTAATCGCGGTGGGGTCAAACACCGCTAAGAGTGCCTCTTTATTGAGCGTCTCAGGGTCTCAAGCGATCTTATGTGTTCTGCCTGTCGGGCTTGTTTGCGCTCCATTAGTATTGCTGACAATAGCCTGGTGGTCACTATGCGTGTACATCTGGGATACTTCCCATGTGGCCCGTCTATGCTATTGTGGGGCCACGCCCTGCACTTGCCTGTTTCATCGTGGCTACTTCTACACCTGGTGGCGATGTGCCTGAATTTTAGGTACTTGGAGCATCTCCTGTGGTTTATTTTATAAGGAATGCGGCAGATTGCCCATCCAATTCTAATTTTGCCGATTTTTAGCAGCTGCTCTGCTAGTTCTTTGGGTAGAAGAACTCTAGCCGTGTGGGTTCCTCAGTATGCTTGTTGTAAGGGTAAGGGTACCTGAACGTTGGCATGTGTGCATGATACTTTCTAGCTTGCCAAGCACACACACTTACACACTTTTCTACATGGATGTAAACATTTATGCGTTTGTGTGCTTGTTGGTTGCCTGCCAGTTCGATGCAAATTTTAACAGTTTTGAAGCATGGAAAATAGGAGTTTTGCACATGAACAGGCTAAACCCTTTATTAATGTCACCCAACTGCTTACTCGAAAGAGTGTGCGTGTGCACAAGTAGCAAGTCGAAGATGGAACATTTTCAATTTTTGGCCTTTTCTTAGAATTATTCGACAAGCCGACGAAGAATTACCCTTGCAGAAATACGACTTAGTTTTTTTATTTAATTTTATGCAAAATTGGTCCCCACAGTAAACAAAAATATTAGAATATAATGTATAAATATATAATTTAGGTCATTTAAGTTTTTAATAAATATAAATATATCAGATTCTTCTCATTATGCCTGACTTGACGAAGAAATAAATGATAAGGCGAGATAGAGTGTCTGCCTTCTGCCACCACAGGCATGCTTGTAGATCTCGGGGTTTTTGAGAAGCTATGTAGGGAGAAAAGATGCACACAAGTGCGCAAAGCAATAAGTGTAAGCGAGGCACACTCTGCACACGCATACACACATATGTATGTATTTGGGCTAAAAAGATTTAATACTAACATAAATATATTACGAAATAGCGTCAGCCGCAGCGACGTTGTTCGCTGAGCGAGATGCGGCTTCATACTGAACGTTCGGCTTTCGAGGCCGGCGTTCGGCTGCCTCTCTCAGCAGTCTTACTCTATCTGGGCACACTAAAAAGATCGCGGGCACCCATGGGGCTCAGTCGTTGAAGACTTATCGGGATCCGATTATTCCGCTGTTTGACATATCTATGCATTGTATAGTTAGTGAAGCAATGCTTTTATATTTTGGGGAACTGGGTAATTTTTAATAGATTCAATGTGAGAATCACTAGACAATATTCCGCGTCGACCTTGTACCCTAAACAGTTAATATCTCGTTTTAAAAACAGACACCTCTTCATATTTACTTCTAAATTGTGCTCACTCAGACAAATAAATAATCTTTTCAATATCTCTATTTGCTGCCGTACGGTTTTAATCGTCGTTAATATGTCGTCCATATAAAAAACATTACACTTATCTCTAATTGAGTCTCTGAGTAAGTTGGAAGTAAATCTTTGAAACATGGCTGAATCAATTCAAAAGGCATTCTCAAATACTCAAACTGGCCTTGAGGTGTCACAAAAGAAGTGTATGGGACAGATTTATCTTCTACACCAATCTTTTGATATCCCCTTTTGACGTCTATAATTGAGAAACAACCCTTATTTTCTAAAAATTCGAGACAATCAATAAGGGGTAACGGGAAGTTGTCTTTTATAATTCTCTTATTAAGTCCACGATAGGCAACGCACATACAAAGTTCTCCTGACTTTTTCTTGACTAAGACCAATGGGGAAGAGTAAGGCGGGGACTCACTTCGTCTGATTAGTTTCTTTTCTAAGAAATCCTCCACAATTTCTGCTACCTTCTCTGTCTACTGGTAAGAAAGACGTCGTGGAGCCCAATAATATCTGCCAGTTGAATTGACATCTGTTACCTGGAAGTTTCTTTAAAATGTAATTATTTACATAAGTTATGGGTTCTGCCAAATTCTAATCCCACATTAATGAGATCCTTTTATATTTCAATATTCGTTTCTAATTTGATCAACCATTAGGCTATTTTGCTTATGACTTGTAAATTGATTAGGAAGAATAGTATTGCTTAGCTCGCTACTTTGTGATTGGTTGTAATTTTAATTATTTGAATTATTAGATGGACCTACATTACTAATATTAGAGTTAATGGTGAGTAAAGCTGCTAATCTGCACATGTTAGATTAGCAGCTTCATGCTTTATTGAACTTAATGTTATGTTATGTAAAGGTAGTAAATTATCGTATACGATATGTAACAAAACTGTATATGTCTTCTTGACAAACTCTCACGACACTTAAACTTTCCCCGTATTGAGATTAGTCGTCCTCCTAATCTATGGTAATTACTAACTTTTTTCTTATCATACCAGATTTTGGTATTGAAGATTTATGAATAAAACTTACAGAACCAACTGCATCAAAAAAAACTGAAAAACGTAAGCATCTTTGCTCACCAAATAGGCTTTATAATTACTCAAACGCTCGCCTCCCGGCACTGCGTTGTGGCACTGCGCGAGCCTGACCGACGAGACACCTCTGTGCGTTTGGGGCGACTGCCCGCACTCACCCTTGAGCTACGTCCTCGCCCGACTGGCCAGACGACACTTCGCAGGAACCGCAGTCGCGCCGCATGCTGGAGCCGGTGCCTTCCGCCGCCTGAGTACATCCACTCGCTTTGCCCATCGCTAGCGGCCATGTCTGCTTGTGATACTATGCTACACATCACAACAAAGTATTGCAACGCACTTTCGTTTTTGGCTCAGATCCGCGCATTGCTGAAATAAATGAATTTAAAACTTGAAGTCTAGTGTAAGTTAGGTTTAGGGCGAAGCGAGACCGCAATATAACTTTATCACTACGCTCTGGGAGCGAAGTCGCCTTGCTTCGCCGCCGTAGCTTAATTTAGGTTTAAGAACTTCAATGTCTGTTATCGAATTTAACTAAACCAACAAGGACGAAGCGCATTAAATCTACGTCTTTAAAGCCACCAGTATTTTAAATAATTATATAAAATCATATAATTTTTCAGGTCTATTAACTTAATTTATCCCTTTCTTTTGGAAAGAATCATTTACTATCCCTCTTCAAAAAAAAGGGAGAAAGTCTAATTTCGAAAACTATACAGGTACTTCCAAATTATCCGGTATCCCTTAAGCTTTCGAGAGAAAATCGTAACATCTCAAGTGCAACATTCAAATTCGTGAAGCCTAGATCTTCACTCTTCTTCCCTAGTAATTGATGGTTTTAAGAAAAGCATGAAGACTGACGTAAGTATTTCGTGATTTTAATAAGGCTTTCGACTCTTTACTTCTTCTTAGGGTCTTAGAGTGTAACCAATGACCTTCCCTCTATACTGTCTCACTCTCGAGTAGCTAATTTATGCATAAAAATGATGTAAAATTGTGCCTTGCAAATAAAGCAATTCTTGTTTGCTCTCGTGGCTTAAGCCGGGATCCTCGTGAGCGGTTACCGTCATTCTCCAGTAGACTTCTGCAGATTAA